CTACTGAGAAATAGTAAGGACCATGAGACCCACTCAGACCCACAGCTGTTCCAGCACCAGACTCTAGTTTTTATGGACATGGCACTTTGTTGTCTGTTAATTTAGACAACGCACGCCTGCTCGCTGGGTCAGCACATTGCATCACCCTCTGGAACAATGACATTCCCATGAAATACCCCAGTTATTAAATCCATCATTGAAAAATGTTGCATTTTAAGCAGAATGGAAAAAGACAAGGTCAGAAAAGTTGCAATAGAGTAGGACCTCTGAGCCAAAACTTGCAGCTGGATTATACATATCTAAAGGCTTGAAATTTATTAAAATAAAAGTTATTGAAATGCTAGCAAATGGGAAAGAAAATACTAGAAAATTATGAGGAGCCATTAAAGCCCCTGTCTGTTGAGAATGTGGATCTCAGACCACAGGAGAGGCCCTGGCACTAGAGTAAGAGAGACCTGGGTTCAGATCTTGACTTAGCCCCCTACAGGTGAACTTGAATTGGCCACTTGTCCTTGAGCCTTAGTTGCCTCATCTGTAAAATGGGAGCAGTCTCTTGCAGGGGGTTTTTGTGGGGCTTAGAAACAATATATGTGGGAGTGCCCAGGAAGAGAGGTTTAATAGAAGAGAAGCAGAAACCAGACCCATCTCTTACACAAGCCTGAGGCAGGTGGTGTCACTTAATGAAAGTAGGAAAGGCTAGGGGAGGAGTGGGGAGGTGGGAGGGTTGATTTTCAGTTACTCAGTCAGTTCAGTTTTAGATGCTCAGTGATGTCTGATTCTTTGCGACGCCATGGACTGCAGCACACCAGGCTTCCCTGTGGGGAATTTGGAGCTGGTGCAGGGTGTGTTGGCAGATCCTTGTGTACATCCAGCAGTGTGTCCATGGAAATGAGAAGTGCCCGCAACACATGTTGTGAGTGGGTGGAGATGAGGCCCTGGAGGCATGGATGGCCCTCCTCCATCCCCAAGTCTCTACAAAGGGACCTCGAGGTTGGTACGTACCGAGAGCTCCAAAACCTTGGAGAAGGGAAGGCAGAATAGTTGTTGCTGTGAAGTTTCTAGCTTCAAGAAATAAATTTACTTTAAAAGTAGAAAGCATAGTTTTCTTTTCTCAGTCTGGTCCTGGGGATGGGTCATTTGCAATTCTCGTTTGGTTGTCATAAACTGTTTATGAAGTCAGATCTTTTCTTCCCAAGACTCTTTTTTTTCTCTTAAAAAAAAATAGCAATCTGAACTTTGGTTGGAGGAGCTGTAAAAAGTAACAGCAAGAGTGAGAGAGAGAGGAAAAAACTGCGGAAGGGCTCCCTGGAGGGCTGCAGGCTGCTGCTCAGTTTCAGTTGCAGTTGTCAGAGGTAAAGAAAACAGTGGAGAAAACGGCTCATCGAGGGTCCCGGGCTGCTCTGCTCCAGGAAGTCAGCAGAGGGCTGGAGCGCAGCCAGAGGGCGGGCGGGGGCTCAGACACGGTGCCCGCGCCAGCCCTGAGCTCACTGGCGGCGCTAAGTCATCTTACAGGCAGAGCTGTTTCCACATCAGATGTGTGGGGGTTGGGAGAGCTAGGAAGACTTCAAGGAAGGGAGGAGCGCGGGCTTATTTTTGAAGGTTTGCTCGGGGCTTTGGTGGCATGGATCATCTGTGAGTGCAGCTGACAGTGAACTGGGTACCACAGCCCCTCAAAGGGAAGAGGTTCCATTGTCCTGGTCCTGGCCACTCAGGGGAAACTGAGGCAGGCAGAGGGCAGTGGCCTCATGCAGGTGTCACCGTCTAAAGCTTAGAGGCACAGCTCCCTCCCAGCTCCGTGTGAACCGGAAGACCTTGCTCCATCCACCTGCTCAACTGCTGAGAAATCCCCCAGAACAGCAAGAGTTGGTAGCCCGAGGCTGCCGCCCAGGGGCAAGGACTCTGCACCCCCACCCCCAGCAAATGCTCTTGGTGACTCATGGAGGAGAAGAAGACGCTGGTCCTGTCCCCAAGGGGAATCCTTCTTGTCCCTTCTGTGTCCATTCTGGGATCTAGATTGAGAAGCACCCCCAAGAGATCCAGTGGGTTGGAAATATGGAAACCTTGATCCAGGTAGGATCCACCTGAAACCTGAATCAGCGAAACTGTAGTGTGATTGAAGCCTGGTGATCCATGGCCCCTCTGTGTCCCCCCAACAACGCCCGCTCCTGCTCCTCTAAGCTCCCACCTCAGGGATTGGTCATCTAATGTGTAGTCTCCACACCAGATACATATTCTTGACTGTTAAGTCCACTCTCCTTAATTAATGAAATACCTCTGACAGTGGATGAGGGAGACACACATACCCTGGAAGTCCAGGGATGTATCCTGTAGCATTCACTGCATCTCCAAGTTCATATGTATTTGAACACTCTGGTTTTACCAATATGAAATGATCCATTTTTCAAATCTTTGGGCGAGATTGAAGATCCAGGAAACATGACCTTTTTATCAGGTGGTTTTTATTCTAATTTAGAATATGCATGTCTTTCAGGTCCCACTTGGAGTTTTAAAGATACTCTAATTGCTCCAAGGAGTGATTGCTGAGGCCTTTCCTGTGGGATGAAGGATGTCCCAGTTGGGATGTGTGTCTCAGCGCAAGCATCGTATTAATTACCTGGTTCCTGTTGTCTGCCTCTTCATTCATGGGGAGGTGGTCCCTCACCAGGTCCCTCCCAAAGGAAGCCCCTTGCCCCTCACACCTAGGGAGGGAGTTGGGTCCCTGGGGAGGTTGCAGTATTGATTTTCTTCTGTAGAAAAGGGACTGGGAAGAATGCATTATGGGAAGTCCTGGCACTCGGCGATGCACCAGGCAATCTTGGTCTCCTCCACCAGGCAGGGGAGCAACTGCCGTGGTTGCCTCCTCCATGGCCATCACGGCATCCAGAATCCACCCCACAACAGGAAACACAGACCGACCTTGCCCAACTCAGGCTCCTCCAGCCTCATTTCTAGAACCGTCTCTCGTCTGTCACCATGTTCCTGGGTGTCTGGTCCTGCGCACCATGGACACTGTGTGTGTGTGATGAGGAGCCTGCAGAAGTTTCTGCATGCTCTAATCCCTGGCCACTTGTTTCATGGCACCCCTGGTCTGTCCAGATACGGTTCTGTGCTATGTTACATCCAGACCATCTCTACCCTCTCTGGGCTCTCACCAGCTGTGGCAAGCCTCACTTTCCTCTGATTTACTGCAAGAGGTTCCTCTGCATCTGGCATGTGTGCTCAGTCATGTCCAACTCTTTGTGACCCCATGGACTGTAGCCCGCCAGGCTCCTCTGTCCATAGGATTTTCCAGACAAGAATACTGGAGTGGGTTGCCATTTTCTTCTCCAAGGGCTCTTCCTGGTCCAGGGATCAAACTGGAGTCTCCTGCATTGGTGGGTGGATTCTTCACCACTGAGCTGCCAAGGAAGCCCATGCATTTGGCACCCAACCCAAGAGTCCTCACTAGCTAAAGATGGGTTAACTGAGGGTGCCTTATTCCTGGTGGAGCTGTTAGCACATCAAAAGGATGCCTCACTCAGTAGTGTATGTGGGTGGGGAGAAGGGAGTAAGTAATGCTGTTTGTCACCTAGTCCAGTTTAATAAACCTTTTTTTTTTATGCTAAGAGAATAAGAACAATCTAACTAAATCTCAATTTCAATACCAATAGCTGTGGCCTTGGCAGAGATTTCAGTACCTCGAACTTAGTCAATATGTGAAAATCAAGACACTAGAAAATCTTTCTGGAGACACACCCTCAAAATCAGTTATTTCCACGACATGTTTTAACAGCTCCAAGTTTTAAAAACCAACGACAAAACCATACTTCCAAATCCCCACATAACCTTTGTCAACTGGGTTCAAGATTATTTTCCTCATTTCCCTCAGCCATGAGAGTTCTTACTGATGTTTCATAACCCACTTTAAATAGCACATACATGATTGTTATCAAATGTTATTTTTACTTTTCTCAAAAAGCATTTCCTAGCTTTATTGAGACACAGTTGACATCTAACATCGTATGTTCAAGGGGTACATACAGCATGTCGATTTGATCCACTTACGTCTTGGAAAATGATTTCCATCACAGCATTAGCTAACACCTCCAGTTCATCAGATAATTGTCATTTCTATAAGACGTTATTTTTAAGTGACTGTATTCTTTGATAAATATACCAGCCGGTAATGATCCAGGATGTAGTAGCCCCACAAATGTAGCTTTAACAAGCCCGCCTTCTGCTGCTCCATCAACCTGGGATAGGTTTGGAGGAGGAAGGCGGGACCTGCAGAAAGAACCTGGATAATTCAGCATCTCCCTGTGGTTTGCTTGGGCTGCTGTGGCTAGGCGGGTGAGTTAAATTTTCCTTCTGTGTTAATGCTTTCTGTATGAGAAATGGGAACTGGAGATAGCCAAAGAGCTGTGAAAACTGCAGTGCACTCCCTCTTGAGAGACCTCTGCATGAGTTTTTCCTGACATGTGATCTCACGGTGGGTCCAGTGGTCGGTGGTCTGCATAGTCTCAGTGGATCAAGGCCTGGAGTGATGCACTGTGTTTGAGGCCCGTGAATTTTTTTTTTTAAGCTGAGGAGATTCCAAACCAGAACACACAAAAGCCATCATATGCATCAATGTATATGGACATATACACAGCATGTAACACTTAAAGAGGCAGTGTAACTCTGGGTGAGTAGCATCGGGAGATCTCAGGTTCAGTTCTGAGACTTGGGCTAATCCTGCTTCCTTTCCCATTCCCACTCCTGTTGCCGTGAAGGGGTTTGAAGTGCTTTATAAAAGAGGAGACAAAACTCGTCAACCTATCAGGGTGGAGACAAGAGCTGATGGAGATCATGATGAGGGGCTCTCGCCACCGGTTGGTCCCCTTGACATTCTTCCTGAGTGTGTATTTCAGCTTTCATTGAACTTAATAACCTTCTTTTGCTTAAGAAGCGTTTTATACTGATTGAATTACATTTCTCTCTCTCAGCAGTGTTAATGCATGTGTCACTTCTGGTTTTTGCAGGCAACCATGGTTCTGAGCTCTGCGCACTTCTGGCTGGGATTATTTCTGGTTCCCACCGCATGTCTGATCGAAGACGTGGCATGGAGAGCGTAAGTGAGAGATAAAGTGATACCCCAGGTCTTGTCCTGTGTCCTCTATTAGTCTTTAGCAAGCCCCTTCATAGGGTGTTAGATGCTGTGAGATTTCTGAAGTCACAGGTCTCCTGCCACCTGCCACAGCAGATATAAAGGATGTTGGCTTGTTTTGTTTTGTTTTCTTTTAACCTGTGCTTCACCTTGATGGGAGAATATAGTAGGAAAGGAGTCAGACTGTGTGAATGTCAAGAGAGGTGTTGCTTGTATAGGATTATAAGGGAGGATTTCTGAGTACAGATCCATTCCACCAGGGTTAAGAAGCGTAACTCAAAATTCATTGATTTTTTAAAAAAATTTAGCTGTGTCGGGTCTTAGTTGCAGCACACGAGAGCTTCATCGCATCATGTAGGATCTTTCTTTGTGTTGCATGAACTCTGCAGTTGTGATGTGAACTCCGTAGTTGCAGTGTGAGGACTCAGCTCCTCCAGGCATGTGGGATCTTAGTTCCCTGGCCAGGGATTGAACCAGCATCCCCTGTATTACAAGGCAGATCTGTAACCACTGGATCACTAGACAAGCCCCTCAAAATTCATTGATTTTTATCAATGCTGAGTGATCACAAATATAGTCTGGCTTTAAACTCCATGCTTAAAGGGAAATTGTGTGTGTATGTACGTCATTTCAAATCACCAGATGCTTAGAATCAAGTAGTCTCTGTTTTTCCAAATTACTCCCAGTAAGAATCCTTCAAATATAATTTTCCTGAAGTGTCAGTTTACAATTCTATGAGAAGATTAATCACAATGACAAAATTATCACATAGGTTCAATAGGAAATAACTTATGCTCAATTTTTGTTTGTGTTTCAAAATATATTATTTTCTAACTATCTTATTTACAATGTGAAAAAAAGCTACGAGGTTCCAAGATAAAATAAACTTTATTTCATCTGAAAGGGAAAGAAGGAATATTGCAAAAGAGATCAGGTTGATTTTTGAGGACAGGGTTAGACCTGATGACTTATACTGTTGCCAACTTCCCTGAAAATCAAGGCTCCTGGATTGGTATTACTTTGGGCAAAGCATAATTATTTGGCATCTCTAAGGTAGAGAATTGAGACTTGATTCCAAACCTTCCAGGAGAAGACATCAGATTTCATTTTTCTCTCTCCCTTCCTCCCCCACTCAATGAGAACTGCTCCTACCTGACAGGTAGGAATGTATTTTGAAAAAAATCTTCATCTTGGCATTATCTTGACAACCAATGATCTGCAGAGAGAGAAGGTGGGAGAGAGGATTTTATAGCACATATTTTGGGTGTTTTCTTTTTTTCCTTCTCTTCACTAAGTTTTACAACTCTTAGTGAAAATTAAATAACTGTGATTTCTCAAAAATTTTGATTTATCACTACTTCCATTTTAACTGCTAAAACTGTGTTCTATAAATAGCAGAATTTGAATCCTTGGAAATCAAACTATGATACCCAAGAAAGATGTTTTCTTAATCTAATAAATGAACTGAAAGAAAATCTGAGTTCTATGACTTGTGCTAATAACACAGCCCAATTATGGCACGATACATTGCCTTGCCAAATTTCTTCAGTTTTGCAAGATCATCAAGTTAGTTTAGGTAAATAGAATGTGGTCTTGATTACATCAGATCACTTTTTAGTGTATAGTTAGAGACTAGTAACTTGATTATAGATTAATCTTGGTCTCTTTTAATTCAACTATCAAATTAATGTCATGAAAAAATTTTATTAGTACACAATTTTAAATTTGTTTTTAATTGAAGGATAATTGCTTTACAGTATTGTGTTGGTTTCTGCCATACATTTTTGCTGAGACTGATATATTTACTAAGTGAGATGCTGGCAGGAGTATCTTTCTACCATTTCAAAAGAGAGTATTTGCAGATTGTAATATCTCTGCCACCTCCTCTGTTTTCTGGATCTTTTCTAATACATTCCAAGGAAGAGTTCCATGTCTGTGTGAAGCAAATTATCTATCCTCTCCAACGGGATTTTTTTTTGGGGGGGGGGGGGTTCCTGGCACTGTCAGATTAGCACTATTTATATTTTAACAAGGACACTGCTTCCAGCTCCTATTTGTAAAGGGAAGTCACTTCTTTCCAAGGCGGTTGCCAGCCAGGTAGGCGCAGGAAAGGCCCCTCTGAATTCCAGCCCCATCTCCTGAAATGCATTTTTGTCTCATTTAATTTGGATTGTATGGCATGTATAGCCTCTGACCCAGAGTGTTTGCCCAAAATATATGACCAGTAATACATAGTTAATGTCTAAACTATACTTATCCCTCTCCTCAAAAGCAAGAATTCGGCAAGTTTCTTTGGACATTTTGCTTCTGATCAAGGAGTCCATCTTTTATCTCCTATTATACTCCCAGCCTGAAAAATTTATTGTTGAGTCAAGTAAATTCGGGGGCTTTCCTGATATCTCAGCTGGTAAAGAATCCGCCTGCAATGCGGGAGGCCTGGTTTCGATCCCTGGGTTGAGAAGATCCCCTGGAGAAGGGAAAGGCTACCCACTCCAGTATTCTGGCCTGGAGAATTCCATAGACTGTACAGTCCATGGGATCACAAAGAGTCAGACACAACTGAGTGATTTTCACTTCACTTCACTTCAAGTAAATTCAGAGGCTTCTCCCAGGGAAAGTGTATTATGAGTTGCTTACCTCTAATGAGGCCATGACACTTACCTGTCATTTCTCTTTCTTCAGCTTTACAAAGCTGTCCTGTTTTTCCTTCCTACACAATGAACAAAAATATTAATCCCAATTGTCCAGAAAATTGCTCGTCACTTGGTTCAGACTGTAGAATGTTTCTTGTCACGTGATGTGCCAGGATGCACCCTGGACTCTGGAGAAGACAGCTTGTGTGACATGATAGGGAGTCAGGGGCAGCTGAATCAGCTTGAGGCAGTGTCTGGAACCTTCTGTAAATTTGCTGTGATTCTTTCATCTTGCCTTGGGCCAGTCTTAAGACCTTTTCGTTTTATTTTGAGATTTGGTGGTTAACTCTATTTTGAAAACACTTTTAAATTCCAGCGCAAAGCAGTCCTGCCTTTTCACATACAGGGAGTCCCTTACATACAAACGAGTTCCATTCCAAGAGTGTGTTTGCTAAATCCATTTGTTTATACGTCCAACAAACTTAGCCTAGGTACCCAACTATAAATAACATAATCAGCTATATAGTATTGTAGTGACCTATAGTACTCTTAACACAAGTAATACATAAAAAACAAAACAAAAAATAAACATTTTTAATCTTACGGTACAGTACCTCGTAGTACAATAGCAGGCACACAGGTGCTGGCATCGAGTGAACAGACAAGAAGAGTTACCGAGCAGCGGAGGGAGGGGAGGTGGGAGGTGGGAGAGCTGAAGGGTCGTCAGCAGCAGGAGGCGGGCCAGCTGCAGTGTCCCTCACACCTGATGTGCATGGAGCAGGTGCTGGCTCCATGCTGGAACCAAATACACATTCTCATCTTTGAAAGTTCGCAACTTGATGGTTCGTATATAGGGGACTTAACTGTGCATTTCTGTGCACGCAGGTTGCTCTGTCTTCCTGCATTTTCCCTCTTTCTTCGCCCAGTCTCTCTCCCATTTTCAGGACCTGCACAGTTAAGCGTAAGGAAGAAAAAATAGCATGAGGCAATTTGGTGATTTTTTTCAGTGAAGTCTATCAAATTTCTGAATGAAAGTCCATTATTAAAGTATGTTAAGGCAGATTTGGACTTCGCAAAAAAACTTCTTCTGTTACTCTGTTAACCAGAATTTTCATGAGGGACTAAACTAACACATCTTTTATTAAAATAATTGATGATAGATGCTACCTGGCTAATGAATATTTTTATTAGATGCATGCAGTTTAAATTGTCCAGAACTACTTTAATATCCTTTAGCTCATGTGCTTCCAAAATGTTTACCCATGACAACATTCTTAGGTAAGCTCCCATGTACTTATGCTCATAAAGCAACAATTCACTTACGTTGCTTTATAAAAATAATATAAAGCTCAAGGCCACAGAACTCAGGGACCCATCTCTTTTTATCTAACTGTATCTCCTATACCTTACCAGTCAGCACACAGTACATTCGGCAAGTCCAGAATGACTTCATTTCCTTATCATAATCCCCGATAGGCAGTTAAGTGGAAATTAAAGGTAATAAGAAATTTCTGTGTACAATGGGGCCTTGATTAAAAAAAAAAGCATTCCAACTAGACTAATTTCTTTTGAGGCACATTCTATTTACATTTTCATCCACATTTAGAATCTAATGTTTCCTTCTGACTTGTTCTCCTTCCATAAGGAAAAAAAGGAAAAGGAGTCCAGGAAAAATAATTCAGAAACAAGAAGATGAAAAGTTCAGGGTTTTAGGCCGACTTACTTATTTCAAAAATCTCTGATAACCTGGAGAATACCTTTCACTCTATCTGAAGGTTCAGTGTGGACTGCCACACACTCTTACAGGGTCTAAGCATCCCCACCTGCTCTTCTGTGCTCACCTGGCCTCTGGACATGGGGTTGGGGGAGGAGCCCTGGGAAACAGCCATCCACAGGTAATTGGGTTCACTCTGCCCAAGCTGTGATTCAGAACAAACCCAACCCCAGCTCATGGTGAGACCTGATTTCCTTGCCAGTGGTTAATACTTAGTGGCTGGCTTTTTGAAACTTAGAAGTATTAGATTTTAGTTGATGACAAATGTAGACTTTGGCAGGGGAGGTCTTAGAATCATTTCTCTAAGTAAGGCCTTATTAGGTAAAGATTCTTGAAGAAAAATATTTTTAGCTATTTTTATTTATTTATTTGACTGCACTGGGTCTTAGTTGCGGCACGTGGGATCTTCAGTCTTTGTTGTGGCATGTGGAATTTTTAGTTGCAGCAGGCAGGATCTGGGATTGCCTGGTGGCTTCTCTGGTGGTAAAGAATCCGCCTGCCAATGCAGGAGACTCAGGTTTGATCCCTGGTTCGGGAAGATGCCCTGGAATGGCAACCCACTCCAGTATTCTTGCCTGGAGAATTCAATGGACAGAGGATCCTGGTGGGCCACAGTCCATGGGGTCGCAAAAGAGGGAGACTCAGGTTTGATCCCTGGTTCGGGAAGATGCCCTGGAATGGCAACCCACTCCAGTATTCTTGCCTGGAGAATTCCATGGACAGAGGATCCTGGTGGGCCACAGTCCATGGGGTCGCAAAAGAGTCAGACACAACTTAGGGACTAAACAGCAACCACAAATTCAGGATCTAGTTCCCTGACCAGAAATTGAACCCAGGGCCCCTGCATTGGGAGCTCAGAGTCTTAGCCTCTGGACCGCCAGGACAGTCCCCAAAAACATGGTTTTAAATTTCTAGCATCAACTCTACTGAAGTGCTCCAGGCAGGAAGACTAGCCATGTTCTCATACTGGTTAACTTCCTAGGCTGACTCCCGGGAACTAGCTTTGTGGAAATACTACAAAATTGCTGAATAACTCTTGGCTATGAATACATTTTCATCTACTGGGGATGTAAACAAGGCCTAGTAGAATCAACATGCTTACTTCCTTCTTGAGCAATTTTATGAATGAGTGAAAACTGGCAGCTTCAGTCCCATGGGTCAAAGTCTCTTTTCTCTTGGCCCAAGCTGTAGGTTTCTGGTGCTCTGCGCCCTATGGTCCAGCCTTCCTGTTTCAAGCCTACTTCTTCGTGTTTCCCTTCCCCTACCCCAACCCAGAGAGTAACACTGGGGGCTGGTCTAGAGGTTGATGAGCACTGCTTGCTCTGTGGGCGAGAAAGGAAGAAGGAAGGGAGGATGCTGGAGTGAAGACATTCCTGAAACAGTAAGGACAAGGCAGACACACTCCACAGGACCCGTGTATCTGGGGTGAATCCAAGTGGAGCGGGGCTGGCTGTTTACCCAGATGGCTGTTATCAATACAGCCCAGAAGCCCAGTTGAGATCAAAGGTGGACTTTGGGCCTGGCACATTCATTCATAGTGAACAGTGTCACGTTCTTTTTGTCTTCTTTCCAGCAGAAAGTTAAACATTTTCTCATTTCTTGTTTAAATGAAAATTTCCCTGTCTCCGCTTTGAACTGCAGTGTTTTAATCGCCCCTGAGTCTCAGGACACTGCTTGGTGTGGTTAAGGAATTATGTGTGAAAACTGTGTGGTTCAGTTCTTGTTTCCTGTGGGGAAATAAATGACCTACACTTACACAGAGCCTCTGCTCTGACTCTCCACCGGAAATGAACTTGGGGTGTCAGCAGACAACTGGGCGCTGTCTTCCCAGACTCCTTGAGGGTGGAAGGTGGATGGGAGCACGTGGTTCCGTGGAGCAGCTCAGGTCTCCAGAAGGTTCCACTGCATTGTGCCATGTCTTTGCAGACACATTCAATTTGGTTCTGATTCTGTCTCTGAGTCTGGGTGCTTGATGGGCAGCCCACATGCGCTTCTGCAGAAAAACTAGAAAAAGTTTTTCAGAAAAACACTGCCCTGTGCTGCTCTGCTAGAGTCTTTTGCTTTTTTACAGTTTCTCTTTTCTCATTTCTAACCTGTATCTCCATCAATGCCCTTTCTTCGCCTGTATAGCTTCCAACCAGCCATTCTGTTTAATCTCAATTTTAGGAAGACCTTTGCAATCAGACACTTATTGAAACATTGTGAGGTGTCTCTTAGTTTAATCAGGAGAAGGTGCAGGTAACTCTTCGCAGGTCAGGGAGAGAGTTTGAGATTTACAGGCTGGAAAGGCCAGCCTGTTTTGCTACTGTGTTTGTTGTTTTATGCTGCTGAAGTCTGCAAGAGAAGAAAGGAAATCTGTGCCCGGATATTTGTGTTGACCCGAATTTCAGATCAAGGGTTTGGCATGACAACAGTGACCTCTGGCATCATAACTCCATCTTGCTGTGACGTTTTTTACCCTAAAAGGAGAGAGAAGACTGTTTCCCCCGGACTGTTGACCTTACAGTTGGGGCACAGTCCAAAGAACCTGCATATGTCCACTTGGGTGAGGATTAGAACACCTTCTGGGTCTTTAGGTCCTGCAGTAGACAGCTTTCGAGGTAGACCTGTGACCCTGCAGGAACCCTGGGCTTCTGTCTGGACTTGGAGGGTATCAGCCCACTCTGCAGCCACAAGCAATGCTCTTAGGGGATCATTTGCTGACACCCATGGCCTGGGCCTATTCTGCAGGACTTGGGGTGCTTCCCAGGTTGCAGAGGTGGAGCCCTTGCCAGGCACAGGGCTGGCGCATGTTCCACGGTGTCCCTGAGCCCCAGCCTGGGTCAGAGGACATCAGAGAGGGCCCATGGGGGAGCAGCCTGTTGTCACGGCTGAGTTCACATGTCATGTCTTTCTTGTCTTTTCCTTGGACACAGGGCCAAGCACACCTGCAAGAAAACACTGCTGGAGGAGGTGCAGGAGCTGGAGACGAAGTCCAGAGTGATGGGCAGAGCAATGCTCCGGGACAGTAACGGAAAGAGGTGGGCAGCGCCAGGCCAGGGTCCCCAGGACCCCCTCTCCTTTTCCCTATCTCTCCTTCTGGGGTTTCCCTTCCTCCTCTTGGTTTTCAATGTGAGCACATGATGGATGAAACAGAAACCATGCCCTCTCAAGGGCAACATGAAATCTGACTTTCAGGTCCCTGGGCCTGCCCCCAGGTGAAACAGAGGCTTATATGGGGTGTGTACATGCAGAAAATAGAAAATAACATTGTGATCTTCAGGTGGAGAAGTGCTGTGTCAGCAATATTAGCAAAGCATGTTTAAAAGCCAGGCCTCTTGCTCTCAGCCCCAGTGATGTGCTAAAGGGTATCTGCCCTGAAGTTCTGCTCATCAAAGAATGCATTTTGTTCGTGTAGATTCTGTTCATTCCAAGTATACCCAGGTTTTGTTTTGTTTTTGATGAATTATTTTTTGTTCCTGGTGTTGAGACAGCATCATGTGACCTACTGGTTGGTCCAGCAAAGCAGGGGCTGCCCCCCCACCCCCTTTATTTCTTACAGAGCCTCAGTGGCCCCTACTCCTCTCCTAACTGCTGGGCATGTGAGTAGGTTTGGTTTAGTTGTATGTGTTAAAATGTTATCAGATTGCATCTGGTTAAAATTCACTGAAGGAAACTGACCTGAGCCCAAGGACAATGTGCAGGTAATAGGAGGCCTTGGCCACCTTAGGGGCACGGAGGTCCAGGAGATTATGAGCACGGCTCCCCTCTAACTACTTGGAAGGGATCCTAGAACTAGCTACTCAAGAAACAAAAATCTAGAAGTGGAGTAATTCCAGAGACCCTCTGATATTTATGTTCTGTTTTATTTAGGTCCTGTCTTCTTGTACCATCTTTCAAAGCAATGAAATCAAAGCATTTTTGTTTTGTGTTGCTTTTAGGAAGGAAAATGCAAATATTTTGAGAAGTATCAGGAATATTATCTCAAATGGCTAGATATTTTAGGAAAGGGGCTGAAGAGTATAGGATTGAAGGCTCTGTGGTTGAAGTTGTGATTTTTTTGTGTATTTATGACATTTTTCCTGAGTCCATTAGCATTTATTTTATGGCAGCTATGCTAGTCGTCATAAGACTTTATCAGTCAGCTGGACAAAAATCTCTGTCTGAAGTCGTGACTGGTGGGGGCAGGACTGGGCTTTAAGGTGGTCTGTGTATAGCTAATACACAGGCCACACAGCTGAGGGTGAGCAGGCCTCTTCTCCCCATTGGACAGCAGACACAGGGCTTGTGTCTAGGTTGTCAAGGACCCACAAAATTCTTTAATCTCCAAAAACAACATGTTCATAGCTTCTAAAAATAGGGAGATGCCTCTACAAATTGAAACTAATACATGGATGTCAGTCTTAAAAACTGTCAAGCGAAATAAGCACTGTTTTATCCTATTTGCAAAAAATTTTACAGGCTCTTCTGTATCTCAAGAATTCTCCCATATATACACAGTGATTGCTAAGAGATCATGAGTCGTTTCTGAGGACAATGAGACTTTCCAAGCAAAATTCTAAAACTCTTCTCAAACATTGGACAGGAAAACATTGCAAGGAAGGCAGCGTAAGACAACCCTTCACCAAGTCTGAGCTGACCTGGGCGGGATCTCCGGCCCGTGGGGTCCTCAAAACAAGCCTGGATGGGGAGTTAGCGGCACAGGGGACGTCTGGAAGAGGCAGCGATCCCAGGTAGCCTCTAGCTTGAGAAGTCGAGAGAGGCTGCCCACTGGAGACAGGATGGAAGACAGAGCTGTGAGGATGGGGATGCACAGAAAGGATGAGAGCCTGTGTGGCGGAGGCTCGAGTCAGAGGGGGTCACAGAGCTCTGAGCCTGTCTGAATCCTGGCTCAGCCATGGCGAGCCCTGCAGTCTTGGGCGAGAGATTTCCTATAAGGAGACTGTCTTCATCTATTAGAGATGGAGACTCATGGAGGGTGGGAGGTGTTAGAATTTATGAAACTGAGTTTATGATGAGTGACAGCACACTGACCAGTGCTGTGATCAGTTGCTGAGTCCTGTCCGACTCTTTGCGACCCCTGGACTGTAGCCTGCCAGGCTCCTCTGTCCATGGGATTCTCCAGGCAAGGATACTGGAGTGTGTTGCCATTTCCTTCTCCAGGGGATCTTCCTGACCCAGGGATCAAACCTGAGTCTCTGGCCAGCAAAAGGTCAGGGGCTGGGCTTTGGTTTGTCAGGAAGGTTGTGATGTTGAAGGGTGTCTTGGGCTCTCAGCTTGTGGTTGGTTGAAAAAAAAAGTAAATTAAAAAATACTTATTTTTTATGGAAGTATAGTTGATTTACAATGTGTATTAGTTTCAGGTGTATAGCAAAGTGATTCAGTTATACAGACATACACATACTTTTTCAGATTCAAAGAGAATGTAATTTCTAAAAGCACTTATCCTGTTCAAAGTTCACTTTCATATGTTCAGGCCGATCAAGAGATAACCGGAGTTTAAACGTGGTCTCTGCCTCAGGCATTTTGGAGTCTCTTCCCTGAGCACGCTGTAAACTCCTTACCGGGACAGTCGATTCGCGGGTGGAGGGAGGGTGTGAACATGGGTGTGCAGGAGGAAACGTGGGGTCACAGCTTCCTTTCTCCCAGATCTGGCTCACACTGGGGCTCCTGGGGAGGTTAGTTCAGGGACTCCAGGCCTCCCAGCGCCCCTCACTCCTTCCTCCTCCCCCCAGCGGCTCCCAGATTTCCTGGGTGGTCCATGGGCAGCCTGGAGAAGCAGCTGCTCTGGAGAGAGGACTCTGCTCTCCCAGTTGTTCGTCTGCCACCTGCCTGGCTCCTTTCACTCCTGCTCGGACTCCCCGCAGCTGAGGAGCTGCTGGGGGAGGTGCGGCCCGGGCCAGGGTGGGGGCGGCCCTGTCCCCCCATCTGAAGAGTCACAAACCGGCTCCCTCTTTGAGAGACCCTGAGGATTTTGTCTCTCCCCCCACATCCCCGTGCCTGCTTCCCCACCTCCTGTAATGTTTGAGTTCATCCACGCCTCTCTCTCCAGCTGTCAGTCTGGCACGTAAGGAAGCTCTGTAAATATTTGTTTTCTTTTAATTGAATTAATTTCTTCTCTTTGGCTTCACTGAGACTTTGTTGCTACTCAGGTTTCTCTAGTTGCGGCCAGCGGAGACTACTCTTCTTTGCACTGTGCAGGCTTTTCATCACAGCGGCTTCTCCGGCAGAACATGGGCTCTAGGGTGCACGTCCGTAATTGTGGTGCACAGGCTTAGCTGCTCCACAGCATGTGGGATCTTTCCACACCAGTGGATTTTTAACCACTGAGCCACCGGGGAAGACCCCGTAAATATTTGTTGACCAAGTGGAGATGCAGAAACCCAGCGAGGTGAGGAAGGTGAACCTGCAGCTTTCTTGCATCTGGTGCCAGGGCGATCGCTCCTGTTGAAAGTGGCCACCAAGGGTGCAGGCTGTCACTCAACCCCTAGTGACAGGGCCCTTTCATCTGGTGGCTTGAGAGAAGCGCAGACGGGGGCTCTGGTCCTCCCTGCTGCCCCAGCACCCAGGTATCCTGGCTCCATGGCCGAACCCTGCCCGTCACTGTCCCTCAGTTTAGCTCTGATGCCCGAAAGAGGGCCTCTCGAGCACAGCCTGCCAAGTCCTAAAAGCAGGTCCAAGTCACTGGCAAAGTCTAACGAACAGCCACATCTAGCCGTTTTTCTCAGGAACGTGCTCATAAGAAACAGTACCAAAATCTTTCTGCATCAATTCCAAAACCCCTTTTGTGCCAAATGACCATTTTGAAATGGTACCTGGAGATTCCAAGTACCCCTCTGTGCCCCTAATTCATCCAGTGAAAATACCCAAACATTTTCTTGATTTATCTAAGCCCCCAGACTTTTGCGTGATTTTGGTAAACCTTAAAGTTTCATGAAACGGTTTCTGCCTTTCCTCATGAGTGGAATCAGCTTCCAAAATTAACCTGTATGATTTGGACATAAATCAGCCTGTTCTTATGACTTAGAGAAAAGAAACTGAGAAAGAGAATTAGGTGTCTAGAAAGTATAGTGAAGTAAGAAATGCCAAGGGGATGAGCAAAATGATTTTTCTTGATTTTCAGTTTGCTTTTTCTGAGTGGAGCATTTTTCTCACCGTAGTTTGTGTACAATAGAGATGCTAAGAACTTACAGATATTTGGTTGTTCAGAACACCTGTTGTTCCCAGTGTTCTTCACCAGAAGATAGCCCTACCATTCTGCCTATGGAACAGTCTGTCATGCATACCATTACTCTACATGGTCTTAAAAATGAGCTAAGTAGGAAGAATTCCTTGTTTCAATGTTTTGGTAATATCTTTCCCTCTTTATTTCCTTTTTTAAAAAATTGAACTAGAGTTAACTTGCAATGTTGTGTTACTTTCTGCTTATAGCAAAGTGACTCAGTTTTGCATTTATGCATTCTTTTTCATACTGGTTTCCATTATGATTTCTCTCAGGATGTTGAATGTAGTTCCCTCGCTGTACAGTAGGACCTTGCTGTTTATCCCTCCCTCTTTATTCCTAATGCATAACTCATGTATTTTTTTTTTTTCCTGCTGGAAGAAAATCTACCAGTGGCCACTTCCTTTACAAATACAGTTCAGACAAATGCCTAAAATGTCATTTAAGGGGACAAGCTATTGTTTTTTCCCCTTTACATTGTTCTTCCTTGGTGTGTGATAGGGGGTGTCCTGGTGTTTTAGGTGTTTAGTCAAAGCAAGAAGAAAGGCTGGGTGTGTTTGATGCAAACGCCTAGTTTCCCAGCTGTGCCTTAAGTCTGAAGGAGCAACAAGCAGGCCCCAGTCTTGTCCCAGAACTTTCTGCTCATCAGAGTTGGCAGGAGGCGGGTGGGGTGGACCCTGTGCTGATCTTCTCTAGGTTCAAGGTCAAGAGTTCTGGTTGCTGCCCCTGCCTTGGGCCAGCCAGGCGGTGGAATTCTTTCGTTTATGTGCTTTCCCCAAGCTCGCTGAGGCCTGGGTGGAGGAAGCCATGTGGCTGGTC